CTACTTGGCTTTTTTTTTTTAATTTGAGGCTAAAATACTGCCAACCCCGATGCCAAACACTGCCTATGTACTTACTCTGAATGAGAGGTTTGTTTAAGATTTTCACCCATTTGCTTTCTTTATCGATAATTTGTTCGTCGCCTTGCAGGTTCTTGTTCACGTTGTTCAATAGTCAATGTAGCCCTTCTTTGTCTTGCATAATTACATCTTCTTTCTCTATCAATTTCTATTTGGTAAACATTAGAGCCCTTGTTTTGTTTGAAAATGAGCAATCTTCGTGTACGTTGAGTAAGATGACGTCGCTCCAATCTCGCATTGCGTTGTTCATGACTCAAGTTTTGGAGGCATAACTATTCCAATTATCTTTCTTGGTCTTGAGTTTGAGCAACTAATTCCAAAATTGAGTGTTGCCTCCTCGTTGTAGGTATAAATGCCATCGTTCATGATTTTGTTGTTAAACATGCCTCACATTTGCTTTATTAGGGTAATTTCCTAGGATTGTTAGTGAACTCACACTTACAATAATAAATTCTACTCATGTTTAAAAGTGTGCTTACATTATATAATAGGTACTAATTGCATAATTGCACATTTAATAGTTACCTATATGAAATTATATAATAGGTACTAATAATAAATTAAGCGATTGTTACCTGCAACATGACTCATACTCACATGTACGATAATAAATTTTGTATTTTCGTATGAAATTTTGGTCTTTCTTATACTTTAAGAGAAATGTAGAAATCGTTAGATTGATTTAATTATTATTTTATTATTTTCATGCCTATTTTCAATATGAAATTATTTTTCATTAAGCTGCAAGGTATATAATAAATCTAATAATGAAATTCTCCTTCGACCGTCATATATAGATAATAACAATGCCAAGGGCAAAAAACTCATATACAAAAACACACCAAAGTATTTTTGTGTGTTTTGTGTAATGCTTATTATTTCACATGCTAATCTCATCTTGTAGGGAATTAAATAAAATTGCGACCAATGCATGCAGGAAATTTAAAAACAAACTGCATATAAAATACTTATAGTTTTATATAGTCAACAGAGAAGTAGAATATAGGTACTTATATATATATGCAGTGAATTACATTATAGTTGGTGAGGTTACATCATTAGTGTATTTCATTTTTTATGTCGTGAGATTTTAAATTATATTTGGTGCAGAACAAACCAAACACTCTTAAAACATTTAGGCCATGTTTGTTTGGGCGGACTGGATTAGCATTCCCATGACTAATAGTCCTAGGACTACCAATTCGTTGGATTATGTATCCTATCTTAACTAATAGTCAAGTTTAAAATAATTAATCCGTACTTCAATTGTTTAACCAAACATCGGATTAATAATTTTATTGGACTATTAGTCCAATCCCAAACTCATGTCCATCCAAACAAACATGACCTTATAGGTAAAGAAGATTTGTGTTGTTAGACAACCATTTGAAAAGTTATTTAGTTAAAGTATTTTAATTTTAAAATATTTCATTTTATTAACTATAAAGAAAACAATTACATAGTCACCACATTATTTTTATTTTTATTTTTATAATAACAGTGAATTTATACACAAAAAAATTACTAAGAAAAATAATTTATAATTTAGATTGAACTTTTATATGGTGAGAAAAATGAAAAAGACTTTCAAAAAATTATGAGCCTAAAATTCACAACTATACATGTTATACTATTTTTTTATTTATTATTTTTTAGTCAACATGATAAAAAAATGGATGTTTGAATTTTCTATTTTTTCAAGAATTGTAGAATTTATACACGACATAAAAACAAATTGAGTGTAAATAATAATTTAAAGCACACGACTCACCCATAAAGCATGTATAGTCAAAGAAAATTAGGCTCCGTTTGGGAAGACAAGTATGGAGTTTTTTTTGGCTAAAATAGTCACAAAAAAATAAAATAGGCTTTTTAGTCCAATAAGACAAAACATCACATCCAACGCATAATCATTACATTTTTTCTCTCACAAAAAAGTCAAAAAAACCAAAAGTCTTTCCCAAATCAGGTTTTTTAACCCCAGGCTAACGTTAGTGTTGTTAGACAACTATTTGAAAAGTTATTTAATTGGAGTATTTTGATTTTAAAATATTTAATTTGGTTAACCATAAAGAAAGAAATTACATATGTACAACACATTTTTTTTTTTTATAATAATAATAGTGAACCTATTAATTGTAGTTATTTCTTAAGGGTGATGCTTCCAACCCCCAGTGGCACTCTCAGTGATGTGTCAGCCTCTCATTGGCTGAAAAAAAAAAGAAAAGAAAAGTAAAATTGTTTTTTTGGGCCAATCACAGCCAACCCCCAGCACCCCCACTGGGGGTCCGAAGCATTTTCCATTTCTTAAAACAGAATTTATACCTAAAAAAGTTACTGTGAGAAAAATGAAAAGTTTTTCATAAAGTTATGAACCTAAAATCCACATCATAAAGGATACATATTATATTATTTTTTTTATTTGTTATTTTTTCAATCAACATCATCAACAAAATGGATCTTTGAATTTTTCATTTTTTCAAGAATTATAGAATTTATACACGACATAAAAACAAATTGAATGTAAACAATAATTAAAAGAAAACCAAACACTCATAAAACATGTATAGTCAAAGAAGATTAGTGTTGTTAGACAACCATTTGAAAAGTTATTTAATTGGAGCATTTTGATTTCAATATATTTAATTTGGTTAACCATAAAGAAAGCAATAACATAATCATGACACTATAATAATAATAATAATAATAATAATAATAATAATAGTGAACCTATATTAATTGTAGTTATTTTTTTAAAACAGAATTTGTATCTAAAAAGATTACTAAGAAGGATAATTTATAGTTTAAATTGAACTTTTATATAGTTAAAAAAAATGAAACAAATTTTCATAAGAATATGAGCCTACAATTCACACCATAATGTATACACGTTATACGATTTTTATTTATTATTTTTCAATCAACATAATCAACAAAATGAAAATTTGAGTTTTTCATTTTTTAAAAAATCATAGAATTTATACACCAAAAGCTGCAAATGATGTATTAAATAAAAACAAATTGAATGTAAATACTAAATAAAAACAAACCAATCTAGAATATTTACCGTCAAAGAAGATTGGTGTTATCAGACAACCACTTAAAATGTTTTTTGTTCTCAATAGCACAATGTGATAAAGCAATTTGAAAAAAATTATAATAATAATAACAAAATTAAACTACAAAAATAAAAAATAAACAACCACTGAGATGTGTTTTTATACAAAATAAATAAATAAATAAACAGTCATTGGGATGTGCTCTCAAGTTCAAATTCTGGAAAGATTGCTCAAGAAGAGTGATATTGCTCACAATTATAGAATTTATACTTAAAAAAAAAGAAAAGCAAAGCATATAAACAAAAGTTTCTATGATTGAGAATATAATAAATTCAAGACTTTTAAACAATTAAAGAATTTATACCAAAAAAATAATTAAAAATAAACAAATTCAAAACGCTTAAACAATTATAGAATTTATTCCAAAAAAAAGAAAAGAATTTATACCCAAAATAAATAAATAAATATAATAAACAATCATTGTGGGTATTAACAGACCTATTAATTATAGTAATTTTTTTAAAAAAAATAGAATCTATACCTGGAAAATTATTATGGAGGATAATAGTTTAGATTGAACTTTTATATAAATATGAGTTTAAAATTTACATCGTAATATATACATGTAATATGATTTATTTATTTATTATTTTTTGGTCAACATAATCAACAAAATGAAAATTTGAAAATTTAATTTTTTCACTTAATTACAGAATTTATACACCAAAAGCTTGAAATGATACTGAATGTAAATAATAAATAAAAACACATTGAAGGAAATTTAGCTTTTAGCAAACGCCGCTATAAGTGTCAAAACGCCGCTAATTATTTTTGCGACGCTTAACACCAAGCGCCGAGGACGCGGCCGTCGCTATAACTTTATAACGTTTTAAAAACGTCCTTATATTAGTATAGGCGGTGTTTTTAAAAACACTGCCAAATGTCTTACTTGACAATATCATGACGTCATTATGATATTTAGCCACATTTTTTAAACGCCGTCATATCTTTTTTAAAAATATAACCGTTAATATTTAGGGTTTAAGTGGCGTTTTTTAAAAAACGCCGTGATATCTCCTTTTTTTTTTTTTGAAATTGTGCTAATTTATGTGATTAAACTAAAAAAATACATATAATAAAACTGAATAACACTAATATGAAATAATAGCTTACATTCAAATAGCAAATGCATCATTAATTCACTTTCCCATTCACCAATCACCATTACCCACAAAATAACATATCCACAAATATTACATAACAGTAGGGTGTGAAAATACACCATTAATATTTAAGAATACTTGGTTACATAACAGTCTCGTATCCAGAATACAAAATTGCTATCATTTGATCAATTTTCTCTTCATCTGTTAGATTATATCTGTTTTCTTCACCCCCATTCATTAGGAGACCAAGCATGTCATGTTTGGTTTTTTGGCAAGCTCTTCTTTCCTCTACGTGTCGTCTCAGCATGCTAACAATGTTTTCTTGCCTGTGAGACATCTCAGTTAGACAAAACATACATACAGAAATATTTAAAACTGTAAAACATCACTTCCAAATTTACGCCTTCATGTTAGTTGTTGGTTTGTTTTGAAATGAACCAACCGAGAGCCAAATATCCCTCCTCCCGTTATTAATTTAGACTAAAGCACAAATTTTAAAAATTGATGATTAAACTGTAACATATCAGATACTTTAGATATCATTAGTTTACTTGACTTACAAGCAACATGTACTTAAGAAATAAGTTGTTTACTTGGAAACCGCGGTGGTAATTTGTTCCGGGAAAGTTGATAGGCAGAGAAAGGGTTCCCAACACCAGCTTAAAGAATTCAGGCATGAATAATTCAGGCATGAATTCCCCAGACATTGACTCCCATTCAATACTTGCAATTTGGTTAAGCGACGACAAAAATTCCATCTGAACAACAAACAATGTGCAACACAAGTACCTTAAAAATAGTTCAACATTGTGAAAAAAGAAAAAGAAAATGACTAAATCAAACACCTCTTTGGTTTTTTGTTGAATGTCAATGAGTGTGTTGTCCCAATTGCTGAGGTGGCACCTCATGAAGTCATCAAGTTTGGGCAAGAGTTGGGACCTGATGATGGAGGGGCACAGGAGAGAAAGCAAAGCAGCTCTGATGTGCCTGTGGGTGGAGCCATGAACAACAGCAAATATATATATGTGGAGCTGAGGTTTGATTATGATAAAATAAAAACAAAAAAGCGACACGACAAACAGAGATAGCTGCCCATCGCTTACATATTCATAGAAATTAAAGCAACAGGTCACAAATATATATAACAAAAATATCTTTATTCAAATTTAATTTAAGTTAGATATGTGGTCGAGTAATTAATGCCAACTACATCCACTATACCTCAACAACTACAAAGAATTTTAGTCATATATATGTCAAAATGATTTGATAAAAATCTCGAGACATAAATTTTATATGGCTAGAAATGCATGTGGTAGAACGGTTTGGGCATGGAGAATCTTGTGTTCTAAAAAATCATGGGTTCTGTTAACAAATGTTCTAAGGAAAAAATAAATAAAAATAAAAAAAATAAACAGGCAAACAATTTAAAACGCAATATCCTTTTTACTAATAATTTCATAACACTTTTCACTCCTTTAAAATATTTCAAAACTTTTTTACCATTTTAAAAACACTTTTTACAATAATCTCAATAATAAACAAGGTATAGAAAGCACTTGTTAATAAACAATGTATAGAAAGCACTTGTTAACCTTCACCAAAAATCAATGTTTAGATATTTACTCCAACCGGTGAGATATGAAAAATTCTAAGTAAACTACACTGTTTGGGAAGGGTTGATTTTAGCTCCGCAGTCAAAAAGTAACCATCTATATAAAATAATGATTCCCTTTTTTTTCCCTTATGTTTTTTTATAAAAAAAATTAAAAATTCATTCAAAACATACTAATTTTTTTTTAATATTATATTTTAATCAAAAAAATATTAAAAAAAGGTGAAACAGGAATAAATCAAAAAAAGGGGAAATATTAAAAAATATGCAACGGCTTAGATTTGAATTCCAATCTCTTATGGAGCTTGAGCAACATCATTGTTATTACGGAGAGCAGGGTTAGATAATCATGAACTACCCAACTAAGAAACTTACTTCCAAGGAGACAACTGGTGAGTATCCAATATGTTTTTGAGCTGCAGAGCAGTTAAACGTACTTGTGCGCAATGCTAATCGAACAACACCATGCAATGGTGCAGAACTGTTAAGCTTTGTGGAGGCCATTTTTGCATGCATCCATTTAACAAGCAAAACAGTATACCAGACCAATGTAGTTGGAAGTTTTATCATGGTTTGTAAGCAGAAGAGGGGAAATCAAGTTCAGGGAGCAATATGAGAAAACAATCATAATCATTCAAAAAGAAAAATGAGGTCAATATGGATTTGTCATTGCCTCAGTAAATATTCTAGCATGATGGTATTTTTCAAAAACGAAATGGCTAGTCAGAAGAGCAACAGTAGACAAATATAAAAATGTTACTTATGTGTTACAAGCAATTAGGCACAATCTTTAAAAGCTATAGAAAGTACAACAGTGATACATCATTATATAAAGGTACGTACACACGTCTAGACAGACATGTATATAAATAACTGCACAATGCATAAAGAAAGAAAGAAAGATAAGGAAACAAAGTCTGTAAAAGATATAGTAAACAGAGAAGAGAGTTATTTCAGCAACAAAACTAATTGGCATACACAAGGTGGAGAAGAAATATCCGAATGCAAAACAGAGTCAAAAAAGCAAAACTTCTCTCTTTTACATTACACCCCTCCAACTTAGCAGCTAAGCACATAATAGTAGTAGTCTCACCCTGCACACACACAACACACACACACACACACACACACACACACACACACACACAAAATACCAAACTGTAAACAAAAAATTTAATAAATTCTTCATAGCAAGAGGAATATTTTCATTTTGAAAATTAAAAAAACAGAGAAAAAAAGCAGAAAACAGAGTAGTAGAAGGTTGGAAACTAACCTCATCATCATCCTCCATACTTGTTTTCTCGCTTCTTAAAAGCTGATTTTAGAAACAACAAATAGGCAATTCCAAGCCTGAGAGGGTGATTTATGATCTGGAATTGGGCCGAGGTAACGGCCGAGCAGGTTGAGAGCCCAACGGTGCATGGGGCCGAGATGACCGACTATCCGCCCAGAGATGGGCTGCCAAAACTTGAGCCGGGCAGAACTTGGGCCGAGTGTGTGCCGCCCCAGACCGTAAAGAAACTGCCCGGCAAGGCAGTGCTCGGTTGAACCGAGCTGCTCGATCAATGGATGGCCGAAGCCGGACAAGCTGAGTGACCGGCGCCAGGAAAGGCATGGTCAGCCGAGGTAACTGTTTGACCGGCAGAAAGGCCGACCTCAAGAGGAGCCTCGGGCTAGGCTTTGCCGAGATGCCGCCTAGCCCGGTCCTCCTTGGGCTTAGCCAGTGAAGTGCTTGGGTATGAAGCACGGCCCGGCATGGCAACGGATAGAGCAGCTCGGCTGTCGAGCTCCAGCTGTGAAGGCAGGTAGTTGAGATTAGGTGAGGTTCAGCAAGGTCTATGCTGACAGATGGGATAGCGGAGCCACGTGTCAGGAGATGACTGGGAGTAGATATGGGGCACAGAGGGTATATAAGCATGTCTGCGCCCCCCATACGGAGGCATGAACACTTTGTAAGGATTTTCTTACACAAATACACCTCCCTCTCTCTCTCTCTCTCTCTATCTGAAGATGTGTGCTAACTTGATCGTCGGAGGGTTTTTCCGGCCACACACCGCCGGGTAGCTCACCATTCTTTGCGCGCAGGTGATCGGACATAAACGAAGCTTGGAAGAAAGGAGTACGGGCTTGTCGGAATATTTGCTCCCCGTACAATTGGCGCCGTCTGTGGGAAGCTTGACAGACAAAACCTTGTCTTCCGGGTTCATCTGACCGCCGTCCATGGCGAACAACGACGAGTTTCCGTTGTCTGCCATAGACGGAGCTACCCCGGAGTTCACCCGAAGGAGAGAAGGTCCTCCCGCCATCCATGCAATGGCGGACTTGGGGACGCCCACTGGAGGACAGTCAGTAGACGCGCGGGATAAGCGCAGAAGAAGTCATGGACATTCGCGGAGTCCAGACGGTCACCGGCGGAGGAGAGACTCACACGCCAGGCGACTGAAAAGTAAGTTGAGAGATCAAGATGCTCTCATCTGGCGAATGGCGGCGGAGATGGAGGATCTCAAGCGGCATGTCAAAGGGAAGGGTGTAGTTGGAGTGGGAGACCACAGTGAGCGCACCCCATCCCGCCGTTCAGGCGGTCAGAGTCAGCGACGTACTCAGTCTATATCCATTACCAGAAGTTACCAGGTTGGTGATTCCGACGCGGGTGCAGAGAAGTCTAGCGCGCAAGACAGCACCTACAAACCCTCACGTTCGGAGACGACGTTGAGGTATTCTTACTCCGCTCAGTCAGAGGATTTACGGGCGGTCTTAAAGGAGCGGGCTCGCCGGCGCAAAGCTCAGAGAATACTTGCTTTCCAGCGGCTTTCATACGGGGTGCACGCCAGCGAGGAGGTCGGAATGCCTCCAGCCCGCCAAGTTGTGCCACTCTTTGACGATACGGACTTGGCTAGGCTGAGTGCCACCCCTTTTTACCTGGATATGGAAACAACACCGCTTCCGACAGGCTTCCACCAACCTAAGTTCACGCTTTACGACGGAAAGACCGATCCATACATGCATGTAAGCCACTTCCGACAGGTTATGGCCGGGCATAGGTGCAATGACGGACTTATGTGCCTAATCTTCCTGTCAAGTTTAGGCGAGCTGGGCTTAAAGTGGTTTGAGAGGTTGCCGGAAAGGAGCATACAAAGGTGGCACCAGTTGGCCGAGGCGTTTGTTACACGCTTCAAAACCAACACAAAGACACCAAAGGAAGTCGATCATTTGCTAAGTGTCAAGATGGAACCGAGCGACACACTGAAGGTATACAACTCAAGGTACTGGGAAACCTTCAACGAGATCTTGGACTGCCCGGTCAACCTTGCAATCGCGCAATACAAGCGTGGTCTCCCGGTCGGACATAGACTGCGGGACTCGCTTACCATGCACCAGCCGACCTCCGTGGGCCAGCTCATGCAGCGCATCAATGAGCACATCCGAATAGAGGATGACGCGTTAGCTTCTACCATGAAGGCCACTCCGGCAGCAACAGACAAGAAGACAGTAGGCAAAGTGCACGCAGTTGGGCAAGAGTCCAGCCGCTCAAGTGACCGAGCAGAGGAATCGGACCGTGGCACGATCCGTAAAAACCGAGGTAGAGGACGTCGGAATGACCGGGATGACTACCCCCGAGATGATGTAGCGGACGCAAACAGAAGGATGAAGGCAAGGACCAGCATAACCACGGTCTTCAAGATTCCAATTTATCGCATACTTAGTAAAATCCGCGACGAGGAGTATGTTCGGTTTCCGGCTAAGTTAGGCGATGGACAAAAGGGCTATAATCCGCGGTATCGTTGCACGTTCCACCGGGAGAGAGGCCACCGAACTGAGGACTGTTTGCCTTTGAGGCAACACTTAGAAGAGCTGGTCGCAGCCGGGCACCTGGACCTTTACATTGACGGCGGTGTGAAGCCGAATCAGGCTCCGGTCGATCCTAGGGGACAGGATGACCGAGATGCACCACCACAGGGAGTTATTAATGTCATCCACGGCATCGTAGCACCTGAGCGTGTTTGCGAACTCTGGGGCATGATAAAGAAGGCATAACATATGAGGGAAGTTTTGTCGGTACAGCCTGCCATAAAAAGGGGGAAGACTGAAGAAAAGGATGTAATCAGTTTCACCTCAAGGGATTTAGAGCGTATCCAGACGCCGCACAACGATGCCCTAGTAGTAACTCTACGCGTCAGAGAATTTGATGTTAGACGGATCTTGATCGATCAGGGAAGCTCGGTCGAGATCATGTACTATGATGCGTTCAAACAGCTCAAACTCCGTGAGACAGACCTGGCTCCGGCTACTTCGCCACTGGTTGGATTCAACTCGCAACCGGAGTGGCCCTTGGGAAAGATTATCCTGCCGGTCAAAGCTGGATCCGTGGTCAAGCAAGTGGAGTTTTGGGTGCTACAAGTGCCTTCGACGTACAACCTTATCCTTGGAAGAGGATGGCTTCACGCTATGCAAGCCGTAGCGTCGACCTACCACCAAATGATGAGATTTCCCTCTGCTATGGGGGCAATCGAGGAGATTTGGGCCGATCAGGTCATGTCCAAGCAGTGCTTCGTGGTAGTCAACGGGAGCCGGGCTGCCAAAGGATTCGTTCAAATGATTGAGGGACCGGGGGACCAGGGTATCTTGGACGACGTGAGTACCAAGGCCGAAGACAAGGCGGTTGAGGAATTGGTTGAGGTGCGAATTGACACCGAAAAGCTGGACAAGTTCTTCTTGCTCGGTTCAAGTCTCACGGCCGTAGAGAGGACCGAGATGGTTGAGTTTCTGATGGCTAACATTGAGGTCTTCGCATGGTCGCCTTACGACATGCCTGGCCTCGACCCAAGTTTTATGTGCCATCACCTCAATGTCTTCCCTAGAGCGAAGCCAGTCATCCAGCGAACAAGGAGATCGGCACTGCACCACGCCAAGGTAGTTGCGGAGGAGGTGAAAAACCTGCTTGAGGCACGAGCAATTCAGGAGGTGCACTACCCTCGGTGGATTTCCAACACAGTAGTGGTGCCGAAGAAGAATGGAAAGTGGCGAGTTTGTGTCGACTATAAGACAGTCAACCGAGCTTGTCCCAAAGATAGCTTCCCTTTGCCGCGAATTGACCAGCTTGTGGACTTGACGGCTGGACATAATAGGCTCAGTTTCTTGGATGCCTACCGCGGCTACCATCAGATCGCCATGCATGGGCCTGACCGAGAGATCACCTCTTTCACGACTCCAAGGGGACTCTTCTGCTACCGAGTCATGCCTTTTGGTTTGAAGAACGCCGGGGCAACCTTTCAGAGGATGGTGACCAAAATGTTTGCTCCTTTGCTTGGCCGGACAATGGAGGCTTACATCGATGATATGGTAGTAAAAAGCCGACATGAAGCAAACCATCTGTCCGACTTAGCCGAGATGTTTGCCATTTTGAAGAAGTACAAGCTGCGCTTGAATGCGTCCAAGTGTGCCTTTCGCGTGGGATCTGGAAAATTTTTGGGATTCTTAGTCACAAACCGGGGCATCGAAGCAGACCCTACTCAGATCAGAGCCGTGCAAGAATTGAAGCAGCCCAGCTCGGCTAAGGACGTGCAGCAT